GTGGTGTGTTAATGGTGATTAATTAGCCATTAACACGTCCGTTACGCTACGCTCCGTTTAAAATTTGTCCCGAATAATTGGAGATTAATGGCCAGTTAACTCCGTAAAAATGGACTAATTTTAAACAATACGTAAAATTAATAAAAGAAGATTGGTTCAGTAAAATTGCAAAAATTGCAATCCTCACCATATTCCTTTATTAACGGGTTAACTCTGAGAATCAATTTCTCATTCACCCTCTACCATTTTTGGCGTATAAATTGTCAAACATTTATCTCATTTAAGAGAACACACGTCCATTAATAAACGGTTAAAACTGTTAGTGGACCTATTGACAAATATACTCAAATTGGTCCATTTAATGCCAATTAAAATGCTAAAAATTCCAACAATCCCCCACATGAATGAAAAATTGATTTGAGGTCGACAACATCCCATGATTGGAAACCTGCAAAGAACAGGTAAGTGTCTCCACTTTTGAACCTGTCCCTTGTAAAGTATACCTTCTTTACTGGCTGTTCAGTAGAACGCGATGTCTTTGAACTGTACTTCCGCTTGTGTAAACGATAGTATACCATACACAAATTCCAACCAAACGCCGTACTGTTCTCATGGTTGTGCCCATTTCGGTCGTGGGACACACGCCTGGTTCTGCGAGAGTGTTTAGAGGATTAAGCCCAAGATCCTCCGTCTGAAGCGACCACACTTCACTCTTACATAGGTGATTCTTTAAGAGTATCCCGATTACTCCCCTTAGACCACCGTGTCTATTGGTTAAGAATCATTAAAGCATATTTATATGCTAACCTCATCATTTTCGAGAGTCACTGTCTTCAGCAGAAACAGAAGGGACTGACCGAAGGTTCCGGTACTGCCCCCACAGTGACCACGCTTTATCCTACAAGTAGGTTGTCCCATTGAACCTGGGTACCAGCCAGGTTGGGTTTTCCTTCATAGGACTGTCCTAGCACAAGGGCTTCAGACCCATTCCTACCACCAACTTCTCATGCAACTCATTTGTTAACCCTTTGGTTAGCGGATCCGCCAGATTATCTTTTGATTTCACATAGTCAATTGTGATAATCCCACTTGTGATAAGTTGTCTAATGGTTTTGTATCTACGACGAATATGTCTAGACTTACCATTATACATATTACTCTTTGCACGTCCTATTGCTGATTGACAATCACAATAGATGCAAACTGGTGGGACCGGTTTATCCCATCTTGGAATGTCCTCTAGGAAGTGGCGTAGCCATTCAGCTTCCTCTCCACATTTGTCTAGAGCTATAAACTCAGCCTCCATAGTGGACCTAGAAATCACTGTTTGCTTTGAGGATTTCCAAGATATTGCTGCACCCGCTAGCGTAAAGACATATCCACTTGTGGACTTCAAGTCTTTACTATCAGATATCCAATTCGCATCTGAGTATCCTTCCAATACCGGTGGATAACTCGAGTAGCATAATCCATAGTCATGTGTATACCGCAGGTATCTCATCACACGTACAATAGCCTTCCAGTGCTCATCACTCGGATTGCTGGTGTATTTACTCAGCTTACTTATGGCACAGGCTAAATCTGGTCGAGTGCAACTCATTAGATATATCAAACTTCCAATAACTCTCGCATACTCGATTTGAGAGTTACTGGAACCTCGGTTTTTAGCCAGGTGAGTATTGACGTCCAACGGCGTCTTTGCTACTCTAACATCATCCTTATTAAACTTGTCAAGGATTTTATCAATATAATGGGATTGGCTCAGTGCTAGACCCCCAGGTCTTCTCACAATTTTAATTCCAAGAATTACTTCAGTCAGACCCATATCTTTCATGTCAAATCGCGAGCTTAACATGTCTTTGGTAGACTTGACCATCTTGTCATCGCTACCAACTATGAGTATGTCGTCTACATATAGACACAACATGACATACCCTTGAGATGTGTTTTTTAGATAAACACACTTGTCTGATTCATTAATTTTGAACCCAGAGTTCATCATTATCTGGTCAAACTTCTCATGCCATACTTTTGGCGCCTGTTTAAGACCATATAATGACTTAACAAGTTTACATACTTTCCTTTCTTGACCAGGAACTATAAACCCTTCTGGTTGTTCCATGTAGATCTCTTCTTCTAGATCTCCATTAAGGAAAGCTGTTTTCACATCCATTTGATGTACTTCTAAGTTCCGCAAGGAAGCTATTGCAAGTATCATCCTAATGGAATTTATCCTTGACACAGGGGCATATGTATCAAAATAATCAAAGCCCTCACGTTGATTGTAACCCTTAATTACAAGTCTGGCTTTGTACTTATCAATGGAACCATCTGGTTTCATTTTCCTCCGAAAGATCCACTTAGAACCTAACGGTTTGCATCCAGGAGGTAGATTCACTAACTCCCAAGTGTGATTCTGCATAATAGAATCAACTTCACTTTTAATTGCCTCTTTCCACTGAGGGCCTTCAGACGAAGTCACTGCTTCACGATAAGTTCGTGGTTCATTTTCTAATAAACATGTTAGAATATCGGGTTCAGTCTCTATCAAAAATGATAGAGTCCC